TGGGCTTTGATTAGGAGACTATCTTTGAAGATAAAATCCTTAACAAGCAGAGGATGCAAAAAGGAAAGCATTCGGTTGACTCCTACAGCCCCCTACTGGCCCCTATATCCGGAGTATGATAAAATTTAAAAGTTTCCATCCAGAGTTTTAATATGTTATCTATTGGAATTATTTCCCCAATGGCCCACTATTCCTTCAGGGTATGTTCTGTTGTGACTTTCAGCTACATCTCACAATAGCTTGGGAACAAACAAAACAGTTTTGCCTATTTTGTCTCCCCATTCCCTTTCCAACCTCCCCCCACCCCCACCAAAAAAAAAAAAAGAGAGAGAGAGAGAGAGAGAAGAAAGGATTAGAAATTCCCTAAGTTACTATAGCATGTGTCAGAGTTTTACTTAACTGATTAATTAGTGAACCAATAGGGAAGTTCTTGCAGGATAAATTGTGTGCGTGTATGTGTGTGTGTGTGTGTGTGTGTGCGCACGCGCGTGCGCGCACAAATGACTAGCAAAGGAAAATAGTTCTAGGTTAGTTTAGATCTGATTAACCTTCTACAAAGCAAGAAAGCAATAACTCTGTAATCATTTTGGGGTGACTTCTCTACTAGGCTACAAAAATATAATACAACTCATAGAACCCTATTAATGACTGCAAATTAACCTTAATTTTATAGGACTGCACATCAGTTGTGGATTGTTGGTCAAATATCCTATGACAACAAAGTCTAGTTCCCCAAGAATGTCAGGTGAGGGTAGAGCTGGTTGATTGGAAAATACTCTATTACCTGGCTATTCAAGAGTGACGTTTGGACTAGCAGCATCGGTGGCACTGGGAGGCTTGGAAGGAATGCAAAATCTCAGGTCCCACACTAGATCTTCAGAATCAGAATCTGTACCACAGATTGAATGTTTGTGGCCGCCCCCCACCCCCACCGCCGCCAAACATATATATTGAAAACCTAATGCCCAATGTGATGGAATTAGGGGTGGAGCCTGGAGGAGGTGATTAGATCATGCGGACTCATGAATGGAATTAGTACCCTTATAACAGAGGCCCACGAAAGCTCCCTTGTGCCTTCTGTCAAGTGAGGTGACAGTGAAAAGATAGCTGTTCATGAGGAAGCCGGTTCTCATCAGATACTGAAGCTGCCAGTGCCATGATCTCAGACTTCTCAGCCTCCAGAACGCGGGCTATAAATGTTCGTTGTTTATAAGCTACCAAGTTTATGGTATTTTTGTTAAAGTAGCTTGAATGTCCTAAGACAACCTGCATGTTAACAAGATATCCATATGATTCATGTGCACATTAAAGTTTAAGAAGCACTGCCCTAGAATGATATTTTAAAAATCAGGCACTTAACAGTTGTTACTCTTTCCAGGTCTGAGATACATGTTTCTTCCACAGTACTTGCCACACGCAAGCAGTGGTAAACCGCTGTCTCAGACCTCAGAGTGATCCCTAGACTCTAATCACTGGGCCTTGAATGATTTAGTCCTTCCAGCCACCTCTAGGCAAATTGTCACTCTCAGTGCAGTGCAGACAGTCCCTGACTTAAAATGGTCTGATTTATGATTTGTTGACTTTACGATGGTGTGAAAACAGTACCGTTCAGTAGAAACTGTATTTCAGGTTTTGATTTTGATCTTTTCCTGGGCTAGCTGTGTGTGTGTGTTAAATACTCTTGTGATTCTGAGCAGCAGCAGCGAGCCGCAGCTCCCAGTCAGCCACTCAGTCACGAAGGTAAACAGCCAGTACTCTACAGCATATTCATTGTTGGATGATTTTGCCCAACTGTAGGCTAATGTAAGTGTTCTGAGCACATTTAAGGTAGGCTAGGCTAAGCTGTGATGTTCGGTAGGCTAGGTGTATTAAATGCATTTTCAACATAAGATATTTCCATTTCTCAGTGGTTTATTGGGATATATAACCCATTGTAAATTGAGAAGCATCTGTCATTCTCTTCTGCTTCTGGGTGAGACTTTGGAGTTCACGTTTTCTGTAGGAAGTTAGTAGGGCATTCAGTTTTAGCTCCGGTTCTACCACTGTATATGTTAATGCTTTATGTGTATTATAATGAAACCCTCATGACACTCATATGAGGAGGCATCACTACCCCCATTTCTCAGAGGAGAAGTTCCCATCATCACATGATTAGAAATCACACGGGTGGAAATGGAAATCTGCCATAATTCCAAACCCTTCCTTTCCATGTTGTCTCCTGTCACTTCACTACTGTAGCCTGTGGCTTTCTGATCTAATTCAACTAGACGAGCTCCAGACATCCTTCTACCTCTAAGAACCTTTGGATTCATTGATGTATTGAACCTTTATGAACTTCACTGCTAATTAAGAGGAACTCTATAATAATTGTTAATAATCAATGTACTATTGATATCACTAAGTACCAAAAATAAATAAACTCTTCAGAGTCCTACTAGACTCTCTAAGTACCCAACTCACAGTTCTAAATCATTTATTATAGTTTTTAAAAAGTAGTTGTTTACTTATCTGCTTCTCCCATTTGGTATTGCCTTCTGGGGAGGAGAGGATGGGGTACCGTTTCTTATTTATGTTTATAGCCCCAGAAACTAGTAGAGTCCTTTACATATATTTACTGCTCAATAAATATTTATTGAAGTAAACAAAACTAGTAGACATAAAACTGGACTGGGAAACCTTTAATTATAGAACTCAATTGCTCTAATATAAATCCATCATTATATTTATATCTGTATATTTATGTTCATAAAATCACCATTACATTAAATAGTGGATGACTTATTTTACAAATCACTTCTTTCAAATGGGCAGAGGTCTTCTGTTATACATTTTCTCTGCTCAGTGGAACAATAAGTTTGAAGGAAAGAGGCATAAATGATAGAAACGTTAAGTGGTAATATGACAACCATTGATCTGGTTGCAAATGAGAAATAGTTTCCAAAAGGAAAGTGTAAATTTTTCATAGGGTTAATTAAAGTTAGGGGTTCTTAACTGGAAGCTATTTTGCCCCCTAGGGGACATCAGGCAATGTCCAGAGACATTTTTTGTTGTCCCAACTGGTGAGTTGGAGTTGGAGGGGTTGTTTCTGGCAGCTAGTGGGCAGAGGCCAGAGATGCTGCTAAACAGCCTATAATGCACAGAACAGCTTTGCATAGCAGAACTAACCAGCTCAAAATGTCAGTAGTGCCGAGATTGAGAAATTCTGATCTAGATGGACATTTAAATGCTGGGCATTTTTACGTTCTTGTTGCTTGGCTGCTTGACTCAGCACATGACCTCTGATACCCCTGGCGTCCCCACGATTGCATAAAGAGAGTCATTGTCTAATGGTGATCCAGAGCCACCACAGTCCCAGAACTGCCCTAATCAACAGCAGTGTGTCTGCCTCAAGGGCCTCCCCTATCCCTCAGATCCTCGGCACATACCATCCAGGACAGGTCACCATATGTATATGCCCATCATCCATAACTAGACCATATATTTCTGTTGGCAGAGAATATATGTTTTACTTCATTGCACACCACTGGCTGCAATTTCCCATAATTCCACCTTAACATGCTTTGGCACTCGGGGCATGGTAATAGTGCTTTATTTTTGGAATTCAGTGGTTAACAGTTGGTCATCTGTAAATATCCTCTATAGTAAATTTCAGCTAACCAGAATGTGAAGTGACCAGAATCATCCATTCTCCCACCATTCTGGATAAGTTAGGATTCATGGTACTTGTCATTCCTGGGGTGTTCCTGGGGTCAAGGTTTATGTCAGTTTAGGTATTTAGGGTTAGAAAAAGAGAATTCTGTAAGAGAATTCTGTAAGTCCTGTTTTCTTCTTTGATTCTCTGGTTTGTGAGAATGTTGTCTTTATCTGGGGGCAAAAAAAATGGAGACTTCATTCCCATGAGAAAAATGAAAACAAAAATAAGCTGATCTGTCCAGGTAAATAGTTGTGCTTAGTAAGGCATGATGGGAGGCTGACATTGAAAGGTATCTGACAGGAGGATCAGCCCTACATAAGCTTGTGATGTAGATGGAAGGTATGTTTCGCATCTATTTCCTTACTGCCCTGGACATCCTCCCACCCCATGGCGTCTACCCCTGTGTTCTCAGAAGTCATCAGTGCCTGCCACCAGAAGGAAGGTCTGAGGAGCACTTGCTGCTCTGGTGCTGAGTCATGCACTGTCTCGTCCATTCCAAGAGCACTTGCATTTTAAAACAGGAACTCAAAAGAGTGAATCACTAATAATAGAATTTCAAATATGAGACTATTAAGACAGAATCAGTTTTGAGGAGCCCTTCCTCAGTGTCCCTCAAGTTATACTATCTTTAAGCATAAGCAGATAAAACAAGCACCAGAAAAACTTCAGGTCAGTATCCTATGAGATAATAAGGTTTTTAAAATTTCATGTTTAAATTTTTGTTCTTATTTGTTCTGTGGTTATCAACTGGGAACAAGTACCATTAGCTTCTAATAGAGGAAAGAAGACTCGTTCCAAGGCTGTTTGATCTTCACAAACTCGTATCACCCTAGAAAGCTTATTAGTAGATAAATGACAGTACAAATAATTATGTTTTATTATAATCAGAAATAGATTTTCTTTGGGGTTTGTTAAGGTCAGGTATTTTAGTTTTTAAGCAGAGAGAGAGTTTGGTTTGTAAAGGCCACAAGAATTCTGATAGTGGCAATATTTACTAAGCACTTACTATGTCTGGCACTATTCCATTTTCCAATTTTGACTCTACTAGTAGGTTGCTCTTTTATTATCATCCCATATTATGAGTGAGGAATTCCAAGGTCACAGCAAGTGCATGCTAGAGCTGAGCCTCGAACCCACACTTCTCGGCTGCAGGCGTCTTAGCCTCTCGCTGTGTTACCCCTCCAGTCATAACCAGGTACCTCTGCTGTCCTTGGGGAGATTTCCCACTGAAGCGAAAGGGCCCAGGCACGATGGAAAGGGAAGAAATTTTGCCAAACATGCTAATACACTCTTTCTTGCTTTCCAGGTTTTGGAGGTGCCCTGGGTTACCTTTTAGGCGCCATCGACTGGGCCCATCTGAAACTGGGAAGAGTGCTGGGCACAGAATTCCAGGTCATGTTCTTCTTCTCCGCCTCGGTCCTCATTCTGTGTTTTATTATTCATCTGTGCAGTATTCCTGAAGCCCCACTTAGAGATGTTACAAAGGACATTCCTCCACAGCAAGCCCCCCAGAACCCTCCATTGTCATCAGACAGAATGTATGAGTATGGGTCTATCGAGAAAGTGAAAAACGATTCTGTAAACCCGGAATTGGTGATGCTGGGAGAAAAAACCAAAAATCCTGCTGCACAGGTAAAGATGCAAATTCTTTACCTGTTGGGAAAAATACTCTGGTTCTTGCCCTTTCTTCTTTTGTTCTTATTCTTTGTTTCGTTAATTTGATGTGAAGAATTTTGTGAAGTCAATTAAATTTTTAAATTCCCAGTAGCTATTATCCCTTAGAATTACAACTTTGTACCTCAAAGAAGATTGTGCGCATTTTCCTCTGGTCCTCCTGTCTGTCGTTCTTTTCAGAACATCAAACCAAGAAGATGAAACCAGGTGCAAAATGTTAGACCATAAGTGAAGCCTGGAATCGTCCTCGGGCCATGAGAAATCTTTTTTTTTTTCTTTTTTTTTTTCTTTTTCGAGAAATATCTTTATTTCTTATATTAGGAGTATAAATTTGTTTCTCCAGATGACAATATCCCTGGGTTGGTAGCCGGGTTGCTTATGTTGAATGTATATTTCATGAGTTGATTAGATATTCCTTTTAGTCTAATGAACTGCTCAGTGAATTAATTAGCTTAAAATTTTAAGGAAAACTCCCTTAAATGCCAGAGAAATGGAACCAGGTTAAGATGAAATGGTCAAAGAGAAGAGACTAGAACTATGCTGACCGATAGAGTAGCTCCTGGTCCCATGGGAATATTTAAATTAAAATTAATTACAATGAAATAAAATTAAAGCATCAGTTCCTTAGTTGCATGAGCCACATTTCAAATGCTCCATAGCCCCATGGGCCTGGTAGCTACTGTATAGGACACTGCAGATATAGAACATTTTCATCATTGTAGAAAGTTCTGTTAGTCAACGCCGATACATAGCTGTAAAAAAAAAAATACTAAACCTCAGGGATAGAAAACAAAGGATTCTCTTACTGGCAAAGAGATTGCAAAAGATCTGATTTTAAATCTTGGTTCCTCTAGCTGACTGACTTGTGTTATTCATTCAGAAAATAACTGTCAGGCACCTGCTGTAGGTAGCCTGATGATTAAGGGCATAGGTGTTCAAATCCTGTCTCTTCCACCTCTGGAATGTATGACCTCGGGCTTCTACATTTCTGTAAAGTGAGAAAGGAATTCTGTTTACCTACAAGAGTTTTGTGCAGATCACATGAGATTATCCATGCAAAGTTATTTAGAGTGGTTCCTGCCACATAGTAAAGTATTAGGTGTAGGTACTGTTATTATGAGCCTGGCAGGATGCTGCGTGCTCTGAGGACAAATGGGGAACAGACTTAATCTGTATTCTAATAGAATTTTCCAACAAGCTCAGTGAATCTCATTTTCTCTATGAGCTTGACTCCTCTCGTTGGCTTGATCTATTTTCAGATGCTCAACTAAGATAAAGCATGGAAAGGTGCTTTTTCATAAGAATATAAACATATCATAATCATTATTCATTCAGTAAACTACTTCGGGTGCTGATTATATCCAAAGCCCTCTACTGGGTAGTTAGAGATTATAAAATTGATTAATGTTTAGTCACTACGCCCAAGGATTTATAGCCTAACAGGGAATATGAGCCATTCATACCTGTATTTATATTCTAAGGTAGAATATGGTAAATGCTATAAAAGCAATGTGTCAGTCCAGGTCTTCTAAAAAGCAGACACCAAGACAAGATAAGATGTGTAAGAGATTTATTGGGAAAAACACCATGAAGGATGAATGTGAGGAGAGGGAGCAGAAGGAG